GTATCTTCAAATGCGCATTGCTTAGCGTGCGCCCTACTCCACGTCTTTTGAGATAAAGGCAGTCGTTTTTCCGAAGTTTCACCTTGTTTTCTTCTCTTTAATATTGGTTTCATTGGAAATGCATTAAGTAGCAATTTACATTTCCACGGGTTGTTCTACCGGAAAGAATTTTGGACGAGTTACTAGTAAGTTGTCGTCGGTTGCCGTAGTGTGCAGGCTCACACTTACAAATCTCGCGCATAAATTGCTGCCAGAAGACTGTCTTTTACATGTTTTAAGCTTTAGTAGAGCAAATGAAAGAGTAGGAATTGGTATGGTGCACAACAAATAGGGAGTGTTCGCCAAGCATGTGAAAAGATCTAATATACAGGGTGTCCCAAAAAGATGTGCACACTGTTTGATCGTTAATAACTCTCCTGCGTTCATGTCTTTTGTCGAGCTTAAAGCACCATTCTGTAGAGCGAGGTTCAACTTAAATTTGCGTTGTGGAGCAAATCATCGATCGCTCTTCATTACTGTAAAATCCTATTTGAACTTTGAGGATGATTGTAAGCTATCAAAATCGGTATTTTGCCGGTATTTTGCGTCAGAAAGAAACCCAAACAAGCCAGAAACTCTTGAAGTGGGCTAATCGAAGTCGCTGATTCCAAATATGAAATTTGCGCTTCAGTATAGTGCTTCTTTCATAAGTTATTTCAAAATTAGGCTGATAACTGTCTTTCCAATGCTCGTCAAAAATGTGAATACGCCATCAAGAAAGCTCGAAAAACTGAAGGAAAGTCATGTAACGAAGTCAGCACGCCTGAAAACCTTGCTACACAAATTTTCAGATTTTTTTGAAATTATTTCATTAAGGGGCCTATTCCGCAGTGATGCTGTATACTGGAATTTCATAACGTAATCCTACAGTAATGAAGAGTGACTGATGGTTCGCTTCATACTGTTAATCTAAATTGAACCTCGCTCTACAGAATGGTACATCAAGCTCGGTAGTAGACATGAAAGAAAGAGAGTTATTAACGATCAAACAGTGTGCACATCTTTTTGGGACACTTATAAAGAAAGATGAGCGCAATTCAATTAGCGGGAAACCGCGTGGCAGTCCCAAAGCGCGCAGATGCAATCTGGCACCTTTAATTAACTGTTCACTAGTTATGTAAGAAATTATGAATTGCACTCAAGAGAAGAGCACGGACTCGCAAAAGTCGGCTTCAAATTTCCTATGCATGATCAGTGCCCACAATCGTTTTCTTCCTTCTGATCACTGATATGCAGTACTGCTCATGTTCCAGTATGTGGTGTGAAAGCGTTTACAAGGCAAGTAGTGCTTTTGCTGAAACTAGCTGATGTGCTACTTTACATGCTTCAAAAGGTAAGTGGAACAAACTCGAGCGTTTGAAGAAAGAAGATTTCTGATTTATGTTAATAAATTTTGATGACAGGCAGAACTTGCAAATACAAACCAAAGTCTTGAGGATCTCTCCACGTTAGCATATGTCATCATTGTGCGCTGCTTATTTGATTTTAAATTAGATCCACTGCCAGAATCAGAAAGCCAATAGGTTATCCGGTGCTGTGGCAACGTCCATTTTTTCAAAAGAAAAATAATCTGCAATAATTTTTCAAAATGGGCTCAAACTTATATGGATCTGTGTTGTTCGTAATTTCTTTTTTGGTAACTTCCCGAGCGCATTTGATCCATCTACAGCCTATCGTCGATTCGCTGAACGCACGGTCTGGACATCAGTGCGGACCACGCGCCGCGAGGTCAAACACTTGCCCCAGTACAAATTCGCTATTGTGCAAGTCGTGCTCTCGCAACATTTCAGCCGCGATGCGTGAGGCGCAACGTTTAAAGGTAGTGGATCGGCAGAATGGATTCTTCTCGGATTTTGGTGGTTTCAGTAGTAGATCCTCAAGTACACTGTGGCCCAAATCCCACCTGCCAATTCTTGAGCTGAGCTCTAAAAAATGGGCTTTAAAACTCCACCAACCTGGCCCACTTTATTGAGGGGGCGCATTGGTGGAAGTTTGAAGCGCGTTTTCAGGAGACAGCGCATGAAATGGAGGGGGGTTTGGGCCACAGTGTATTTTGGGGTCTACTACTGAAATCCACCAAAATCCGAGAAGGATCCATTCTGCCGATCCACTACCCTTAAGCAGTCCGTGCTGTCAACGAATGACGATAGATATTACCTCGAAAAGGTCCTTATCACTGTAATCTGGACGCCTTGCATCAGCTATGCTTTTGAAAAGGGAAAAACGACATTTTCTCGTGGCTTAATTTTTAAGTATTTGGAAACGCTTAGCTCCAAGTTCCATTCGAGGACGGATAGGTCTCCGCGCGAAAGCTTGTAAGTCAATATTCTCCTTCTCGCAAAGCATTAATCAGCGAGCAGCTCGTTATCATTCGACGCAGCTTTTCTCAGGTAAAAAAAGCTGCATTGAATGATACACGAGCTGCTCGCCGGTTAAGGTTTTACGAGAAGGCCCACCTCACACACTAACGAGTCCACCAAATATTTTCAAAATACGAAACTTCCAAAAGTGTAGCCGAGGGCGCCTTAACAAGCATCACTCTCCCTCAAAATTCTGCTCTCAACTGGAAAATTGAAGTCTTTCCAAATTTCTCGTAGAGATGCACTGCGGACAAATTTCTCCGTTCCAGATGTTGAGCGCACTACTAATTTTCAAACGCTTATCCTCTCAAATTTTCTTTGAGGTAACGGTCACACGCTGAGCGATTCCGATAGATCTCAGTCGAGGCGTTAATCAGCAATTCGCAAGATGTGGGAGTTCCTACGCGCCAGTTTCAGATGCACAGCCTTTGTACAGTTCAATCATTTCATATGATGATGTGTGTCGTTGCACACACTGTCCACCTTTTACGTTCATCCCGGTTTCTTGGAAGAGACAAACCTTCAGGTACGTGTTTTTGATATGTTATCAATGCTTTCTTCTTTTTCAGTTACTAATTTCCCCAAAGTGATGTAAGCGATAGCAATTGGCCAGCCTCTTGCGTGATTACAAATCCAGGATGAGGACGCCAATGATGGACGGTTTGCGCAATGAACACATGATCATGTAGAGCGATTCGACTGTAATCGTCGAGCTAACGGTTATGAACATTTTGGTAGTGCCAATCACGCAGAGACCGACATATGAGTAGCGCTGAGCTTCCTGACTCCAAAACAAGTTTCGTTTCTGCAAACAAACGAGCTCTTACGCTTCAGCTAGGCCGTTCTGGATGTTACTGTATCAATAAGGGAAATAATTGTTTTCCACTTCTACAATAGTCAGGCCTTTGGTATATAAGGTTGCAAATTCGTTCGCATAATTGAAGAGTCGCAACTTTTCCTTTTTGAAATTTTTTCGAGGCAGTGCTGAAAAAGGAAGTACATACTTTGGTCCAAAAGTTTGCACCAAAATTTTGGAAAAGTCTTAACTAATGCTTTCAACTAATCTGTCCAATTCGACGTAGTCTTGAATGAAAAAATAATATGCTTTTCAACGGTGCTCTGAGCAGAACGCTCTGCTTTGATATTAATGTGATACAAGGATTAAACAAAACTCTTGAACCGTAGCTTTTTGTACTTCAATCTCTAGAGCTGCTAGAAGCTACGGAAACCTAACTTTCTTTCTAATCGTGGTTCCACGTCTTTCCAACTGAAAGAAAACTTTGGTGATTGAATGTGTCCATTATTGGGTATGATTTCCTAACTCTTTAACTCGACATTTCATTCTCGTTTCGACTATTCCTGATATGCACAATGAAATGGCACTTGCTGTAGGTTGCAGAGGCTATATAGTGATTTGAAACACTATTTCAAATTTTGGGTAAATTTATACCATTTGTTGAAGCAAGACTTGTATGTAGAACAACCTGATATGTAGTTTTCAATGGCATATCTTGTTGGAATTTTCACTGAAGAAATATTGCAGAGGTAGAAGCGGAAGAAGGTGATTAGTCGAATCAAAGTAAGATCAAATCGAAGATTTAAACAAGCTCGTCATACCTAAAAACATCATAGTATTCAAAACAATCATTAGCATATCGAGAGTTTCTCTTTTTATGTGCGAAAAGTTTGTCCTATCGAGCATCCCTATATAATTCACGATTTTTTTGTGAAAAGAACAAAGTTCAGAATTGATATTCACCATTTTTTTTCGAAAACCATAACTTTCCATGCCACTTGATTGACATAACTTAGCACAGATAGAAAGAACAACTCTGTTATGACAATGATTGTTTGTGATCTAAGGGTGATTTTAGATCTATGTCGAGCTTGCTCTAGATTACCGGACCTCAACTAATTTCCTTCTTCCCCTTCTATCTCTGTAGATAATGGTAAACAAGAATATTATGAAAAGTGTAAGGCATGTGACATTTTTCATTTTCACCCTGATGCTTTATAGTGAACATTATCTACAGAGAACATCTTTACCCTACTCAAAATGGAAGAAATTTACAAGAATAGTGCGAGCAAAGCGATGCAACCTAGTAAATTTGCCTGTTTGGTACTGGTTGCACGGCTGGTAGTCAGAATTTAAAAATCATATAATTTCAGCATACGGTCACTCAAGGTGCTGATAACTCGTCCATACATTAGCTGCTGTTGAAGATCCACTGCCTACCATGTACCTACTGTTTCCACATTAGCAGTGTTAGATCGAAGATGCGCAGCGGATTGAGTTTGAGTATCCTTGATTTCATGATTATCCATCTTGAATAGAGCAAGGAAATGCTACGAACTCTGGTATAACTGCGTGTTTCAAAGATCACGAGCGGGTTGTACGTTTTAATGGAACCACATACGAAGAGAAACTGTTGAATATAATGAAAATCGGCGCACATAAACGATGATTCGTTCTTCAAAAAACGTTTCGTAGATGTTGCCTAGGTAAGAAAAAAGTAGAGCATAAGCATAAAAGTGAGTGGAGATGGAAAATCAGCCGATCGAAAGATAATAAGCAATGAAGGACAGAATGAATAATGGGAATTATCTTGTATTCGCCAAACGCAGAGTAGATTTTGGAGTATGTGTTTCAATTTTCGGTGTACCTGATATGCCGGTAGACCATTTCACACGACAGCAGGTGCGATCGGCCTGCAACGTCTTCAAGTATAAAAGAGAAAGACTTGGTGACGCCGAGGTGAATTACCGTTACGACTAATCCTTGGAAGGAGGCCCAAAACGGAGGTACGGAATACCTGCTGATTACTTCAGTTTCCCCGTGCTTGACAAGAAGAAAGGTTTCCTTTTTGGTTCCGTTAGACACGAAGGTGTCGGGGTAGGTTACGTTGGATCCGCAGGCGGTGCAGGTGAGCTTATGGCCAGGATGACTTAAAAGTTTATTTCAAAGAGTGAACACATTCTGATATCTCTGAAACAAAAATTAACGCACATGGGTTCAAAGCTGTAAGTACTGGCCCTCGGTGTCCATTGTACTTTATCCCCAGACTGGATAGCACACATATTTGCAAGTTCAGGCAGATTATAAAAGTGGAAATTCAATATTCAAGCAGCATCGCAATAATATTTGCACTTCTCACCTCGGCTTCTCTTTGCAAATCTTCGCGACTGTCATCATTTCTGGGAGGAAGGAATGCTTCGCAGTTTCTCAAATAGTTCAGCACCTAAAATGATAATTTGGGGAATGATTTCCAAAAAATACCGTGATCGAAATACTTTCGCGAAATGGGTGGGATCCCTGTCAATGAACAGCTCTTCCTGATTTTGCCAGCGATCAGCAATCAGAGCGGAGAACATCTCAATTCAAAAGAATTCGTAAATGCAGCGAAAGGAAAAGAAGACTAAACTTACGCTATCACTGACGCTTGTAAGGGTGGGGAGCGAAGTCTCAAACACAGTACCGCCGACATTTATTTTTACTCGCCTTGCAAAGGAGTAACTCTCAACCTGAAATATCTTACGTTTTCGTTGAAGGCAAAATAGCAATGTTTCGTAATGAGAAGACGGCAAAGGTCCTTTTCGTACAATCAACAAACTTTCTTTTTTGTGATCAATAAAAAAATCAACTTACCATTTCCGTAACGAAGCGCGAATTGGCGATCGGTGAATGGAGATCGATGCCAGGACCACTTGGGAATAACACGCTATGGAGTTCTATCGCGCCAGGACCTATTCAAGCAAGATAGGATTACGTCGTGCGGACGTCTTTGCATGAACCAGCCATGCTACAATACCGCTCACATTTTTTGAAAAATAGACGCGAATGTACGGACATGTATGGACATGTCCATACATCAGCGTCGCGTGGCCATATCTCGCTTCAGAGTGGACGAATTCTAAATCCAGAGCCACCGTTCGATTCAGCTCGGCGCGAAGAATCTTCTGATATATTGGAAGTGGGGGTACGATGTCTTCGATATTTTGTTTTCAGTTTTTTCAATTTGTTCCGCTGAGGTCCTTTCGCGAATATGTGAAGCAACGCCTACCTAACATAGAAGACTTTACTATGTACTATTCGATAATACTGTTCTTGTAGAATATTGTGCGCTAAAAAGTAGACTCAGACTTCTTTTCAAAGGAGATAGAAGCGTTGGTGAATTTTGGAAAAATCATGGGTTCTTAAATTCTACTCGCCATAACTTCCTTCGGAACAAGTATATTTTTAATCCGAAAACAGCGCCTTGCTCAGCTCATCAAGGCAAATCCTTTCGTGTACAGCATGTCCTTGATATCTCGATTTCAGCATTCTTAAATCTTTCTGAGGACGTCTTTTCGCGAAGGTGTAAAGCAGCGAGCATTGTCCCGAGTACATTCCAGCAAGAATTTTTCGATAGCACTTTTTCTGTAGATTATAATGTGCTAGATAGTAGCCGCAGGTTTCTTTTCAAAGGAAGTAGAACGGCGAGTGAATTGTGGAAAAATCTCGTCGTCCCAAATTCTACTCGCCATAGCCATAGAATATGATGCTCTCTTGCTAAGCAGATGTGAGTTTCGAAATCAGCAGGTCGCACAACCTCTACGAGCAATTTTTCCGATACGTTCGGGTTATTCCATTTTCTCTCGTTTTACGCTCCGGAAGCTCGCCGATGGATTTTGGTCAAAATGTTGATGCTCTTGAATTGTAGGGAAACTTCGCTTATAGAGGTTTTCGAACACGCTCTTTACGAAAATCGTGGTCTTTGAGGATCACAGAGTCTTTTTGGAGAGATACGGTGAGGTGACTGTAACTGCAGCACGAAAGTGCGTAATTTTGGCCGCACTTCTCGCGTATCTGTCAGAAACCTTGCCTGCTTGCTTCTCTCAGTCAAAGTTACTAGAAATTGTGCTATCGAATGGTGCATTACTCAGGCTCCAGTCTGTGAAATTTGCCGAGTTACGAGCCTACGAAAACACGTTCTCATAAATTTTTCCCAAAATGTAAAGATCGCATATCTCGTCGAAATTCCTCCGTGAGCGCTTGTACAACGCGCTGATCAAATCCTTTCACATTTCTATTCATTTATTTATTTATTCTATACGCTTTTGGCGTTCCATACAATAGAATAGAAAGCAGTCATTTATACTCTAACCGCAACGATAGTGCATCATTAGTTTAGGTCCAATCTTGATAAAAATGTGATGAAAGCTTGTATTTGACTGCTCTATGATTATAATTATCGGAATTAAATGATGCGATTCATGGAGATGTACCCATGCCCCCTTTTGCCAGCAAAATATTTTGATTTTAACAAGAAAACAAGGTTTGATGGTGGGTATATTATCTGACCCCACCAAACCAGTAAACCAGTGTGAGCCAGTGACTCCGAGTGAATTTCAATAAGGGTTGTAATGATGGATAACTCATACGTGAGCGTGATCAAGTTAGGTTATTGTAATCTATGGAGATGGCAATCATGCCAACTCATTTGCCAGCAGAAGATGCTCTTGCAATAATGAAGCAAAGCGGGGCTCGGTTGGTGCAGTAATACCAATCAACCTTGCCCAAATGATTCCGGGGAGAGTCCAATGACTCCGAAAGAATATCAAATAGTTTCACTTTTTGTAATTCATTTAAGAGCAAGTCAACAAGCTGTAATGATCGGGAAGAGAAGTAAATTGATTAGACCTCCTGAACTAACGTAATAGCAAGATATGGGTTAGTAAGGGTTAAGACATTTGAAAGAAAATAGTATAAAAAACACAAATTGATGGTTGTATTTGGTATGCATTTTGTGGTCGGATAATGTAATCGCACATGGCCAGCTATAGCAATACAGATGACGAATTGGTGCTATTCACTACTCATTCTCAGAATGCCTCAAACGTAAGAGATCAAGTGTGTTGATTCTGCGTTTAAAAACATCCGTGCTCTGAGATTGTAAAGTATCTAGAATCTTTTGATGAATCTTATTGTGTTAGGCTTGGTGCTTTGAGCTCTAGCCACGAAATTGCTTGATATTCAATTGAGCAATTGAAGCAGACGCAAGCACCATATTCAGTACAGTGGGAGTTCGACGAAGCGAACATAATATCTGCAACGAGCGTCATACAAGCGCTCACGGAGGAATTTCGACGAGATATGCGATCTTTACATTTTGGGAAAAATTTATGAGAACGTGTTTTCGTAGGCTCGTAACTCGGCAAATTTCACAGACTGGAGCCTGAGTAATGCACCATTCGATAGCACAATTTCTAGTAACTTTGACTGAGAGAAGCAAGCAGGCAAGGTTTCTGACAGATACGCGAGAAGTGCGGCCAAAATTACGCACTTTCGTGCTGCAGTTACAGTCACCTCACCGTATCTCTCCAAAAAGACTCTGTGATCCTCAAAGACCACGATTTTCGTAAAGAGCGTGTTCGAAAACCTCTATAAGCGAAGTTTCCCTACAATTCAAGAGCATCAACATTTTGACCAAAATCCATTGGCGAGCTTCCGGAGCGTAAAACGAGAGAAAATGGAATAACCCGAACGTATCGGAAAAATTGCTCGTAGAGGTTGTGCGACCTGCTGATTTCGAAACTCACATCTGCTTAGCAAGAGAGCATCATATTCTATGGCTATGGCGAGTAGAATTTGGGACGACGAGATTTTTCCACAATTCACTCGCCGTTCTACTTCCTTTGAAAAGAAACCTGCGGCTACTATCTAGCACATTATAATCTACAGAAAAAGTGCTATCGAAAAATTCTTGCTGGAATGTACTCGGGACAATGCTCGCTGCTTTACACCTTCGCGAAAAGACGTCCTCAGAAAGATTTAAGAATGCTGAAATCGAGATATCAAGGACATGCTGTACACGAAAGGATTTGCCTTGATGAGCTGAGCAAGGCGCTGTTTTCGGATTAAAAATATACTTGTTCCGAAGGAAGTTATGGCGAGTAGAATTTAAGAACCCATGATTTTTCCAAAATTCACCAACGCTTCTATCTCCTTTGAAAAGAAGTCTGAGTCTACTTTTTAGCGCACAATATTCTACAAGAACAGTATTATCGAATAGTACATAGTAAAGTCTTCTATGTTAGGTAGGCGTTGCTTCACATATTCGCGAAAGGACCTCAGCGGAACAAATTGAAAAAACTGAAAACAAAATATCGAAGACATCGTACCCCCACTTCCAATATATCAGAAGATTCTTCGCGCCGAGCTGAATCGAACGGTGGCTCTGGATTTAGAATTCGTCCACTCTGAAGCGAGATATGGCCACGCGACGCTGATGTATGGACATGTCCATACATGTCCGTACATTCGCGTCTATTTTTCAAAAAATGTGAGCGGTATTGTAGCATGGCTGGTTCATGCAAAGACGTCCGCACGACGTAATCCTATCTTGCTTGAATAGGTCCTGGCGCGATAGAACTCCATAGCGTGTTATTCCCAAGTGGTCCTGGCATCGATCTCCATTCACCGATCGCCAATTCGCGCTTCGTTACGGAAATGGTAAGTTGATTTTTTTATTGATCACAAAAAAGAAAGTTTGTTGATTGTACGAAAAGGACCTTTGCCGTCTTCTCATTACGAAACATTGCTATTTTGCCTTCAACGAAAACGTAAGATATTTCAGGTTGAGAGTTACTCCTTTGCAAGGCGAGTAAAAATAAATGTCGGCGGTACTGTGTTTGAGACTTCGCTCCCCACCCTTACAAGCGTCAGTGATAGCGTAAGTTTAGTCTTCTTTTCCTTTCGCTGCATTTACGAATTCTTTTGAATTGAGATGTTCTCCGCTCTGATTGCTGATCGCTGGCAAAATCAGGAAGAGCTGTTCATTGACAGGGATCCCACCCATTTCGCGAAAGTATTTCGATCACGGTATTTTTTGGAAATCATTCCCCAAATTATCATTTTAGGTGCTGAACTATTTGAGAAACTGCGAAGCATTCCTTCCTCCCAGAAATGATGACAGTCGCGAAGATTTGCAAAGAGAAGCCGAGGTGAGAAGTGCAAATATTATTGCGATGCTGCTTGAATATTGAATTTCCACTTTTATAATCTGCCTGAACTTGCAAATATGTGTGCTATCCAGTCTGGGGATAAAGTACAATGGACACCGAGGGCCAGTACTTACAGCTTTGAACCCATGTGCGTATTAATTTTTGTTTCAGAGATATCAGAATGTGTTCACTCTTTGAAATAAACTTTTTAGTCATCCTGGCCAGACATCGTACCCCCACTTCCAATATATCGGAAGATTCTTCGCGCCGAGCTGAATCGAACGGTGGCTCTGGATTCAGAATTCGTCCACTCTGAAGCGAGATATGGCCATGTATGGACATGTACGGACATGTACGGACATGTCCATACATGTATGGACATGTCCGTACATGTCCATACATGTCCATACATTCGCGTCTATTTTTCAAAAAATGTGAGCGGTATTGTAATCTTCTGATTTGATAATATCGGAAAACAGTAAGCATAGATGCAGAATTATGATCAAAATGCTCAGGGTTTATACATTTAAGCATATATTTATGATGAGCGTCGTTTCTTTGTTTTCAGTTTAGCTTCGTACTGTCTCTATCGGATCCCAGGATTGGACTACCCATCATGCGTTCGCTCCTCCGTGAAACTAGCGATGCTACATAGGCTGGTGGTAA